ACCACCAAAAGATTTCCTCCAAATGAGGAAACTCTCACATATCATAAGTGTACCGTACACGCACCGGTATGTGTACACGGCCAGGAACAGAAGTCTTGCACAAATTTTCACTGTATCCGCCTCATGCAGGAAATGAATATTTCCTGGTGAAACTTTAACTCTGCATACACTTGCATGTAATACTTGGCCCACAGCAGTGTGTGGGGTGACATTCTAACCCCTGGCATCCTTATTCAAAGTTCCTGTTGAACGCAAGTTGCCATATCCAGAGGCTTTCAAGCCCTCTCCACGCGAAAGGAAATCTGACCCAATAAAGAATTAATTTCCAAGCTATTTTCAGTTGGTGAACATTTTAGTTCTCTTTTCCCACCAAATACAATGATCACAGCTTTGTGTGTGACTGTGATGCTCCAGAAATGTAACGCCTCCACAAATTGGGGGTTAGGCTTCACAGGGGGCCTACAGCCACTCTACGGTACATGTACAACCTCCAAAAGTATAGGAAATGTCAGTTTTGAAAGTAAGGAGGAATGACAAAGCTTACAATGTACTGTACAAGTATGTGAGCAGGACGGAAATCTACACATACATGTACATGTACATTGACTATAATGGGAAACTGTACACTCTATGTCAGCATGCAATCCCACACTACAAGACGTTTTTAAAAGTTTAATTTCCAACCCAACAGGGATACAAAGGCTGTGGTCTAATTTTATGTGACAAAAGCTCTCCTTGAAATAACATGGCACATGAACATGTACTGTATTTCCTGCAGCAACAGAAAAAATCAAGCCACATCCTCCTATTTTCGTGTGGTGTTCAGGCAACAGCAATAACAGAAGTGTGGGAGAGGACTGAAATCGTTCTGTCTGATCATTCCATGAAGGACAGATATGGCTTCCATTAGACACAAGGAAAACATCTGTACCCACAAATAATAAAAACTAGAGCAATCCATGGCCCAGAATTTGGCCGGTGACACATTTTAGGCCTCATCTTTGCCTAATGGGAGTGAAAGTGAATGACACCGGCATGAACTGCACTTAAAAAAATAAAAAGAAATTGTAAGTTGTGCTGAGGCTCTGCAAAAGAATTTATCAATTTCCAGTGGGCTGGAGCCTAGACGTGAGGAGGGAATTGATAAAAATGGGAAAATCACCTGATGCCCCCCCAGCTTTATACATTTATGATAAAACCTGACACTGGCACTATTCCTTTTTAAATTGGAAATCGGAGGATTTGGGAGGGTTTTAAACGTAAGGCAAATTACGTATCTGAGTTCTTCCAAGGTCATTTTGTGGCTCTGTGCCGTACATGTATATATTGCTAAGCAGAGAGAGTCAATCTTACATGATGAAAACAACAGCACAGGAAAAGGTTCATTCACAGGGCTACAGAGCTTTGCCTGTTACCATTGTCATCAAATGGCTATAACCCTAACTGCATGAGAGGGTCTGGTCCCTTTTCACTTCTATGGAAAATCACACATACGTTGTACAGTTATAATAGCAACCAAATGAGAGTTGACTGTGAGCTATAAACAGAAAGCGCTGCACTTCCAATTTGTAGATGTTTAGGACATGTAACTTTTAAGCAGCCAGAAACATTTAAAGATCTTCAGCTTTAAACAGCTTAAAAGGAATTTGCAACAATTATAACAAAGTTTTTGGTGCTGAGGCCCAAGGCCGACTACACCTGCTCTGACAGTGTCTTCTGGGTTCTACTTTGTCCCAGTGACAACACAGCAAGTTCGATGTACTTTCCTCATTCCGACAAAACTGAAATCAGTTTCCTGTTTAGAAAAGCATGACTAATGACTGTCAGACAACTTTCTATCAAATTTCAAAAATCACAAATCAAAAGAAAAGCTATATCTAAGTGAGAAATTTGATGATGCGTAAAAATTAGAGATTAGGAAAGCGTCACATTTGAAAACAATGCAGGGGGGGAGGACAAAAGCAACACAGAAGCACAGCCACAATGAAAAGGATATTAAGGCCTTAAGGTACTTGCACCCTCACGATGGTAAGACTACAGCCCAAAATCTGGGACTCTCAATACTTTGTACAAGTTCAAAATGTAAAATGTACATGAAAATAGACCCAATGGACACGTGAAAACACTAGTTGAAAGCTTGTTACTGCACATGTACAAGATTAATAGTGTGTCAAAGGAAGATGTTATCTGGCACACAGTTTTATACTTCCTCTCCACAGTCATGTCCCCAGACTAACAAATGGTCAAACTTTTTAAACCATTGTACATGTACCACTTAAGTGCTATGCAGCAATTGAAATCACATTGCTTAATTGATATCACTCTTTCTGTGATAAAACGTTGCAGAAAAGTCTACATGGAACTGAAAAATTAACGACCTTGTCTTTGGTGTGTGGGATTTGGGGTGTACATTATCTGAGCATGTGTTGGTTTGTGTTTTACATATTTTTCTGCACTTGAGATCTCAAAGCTAAAATTAGAGCCAACTGTGAAACAAACCTTTTACATGACTGTGATTAGGAAATCTCCTCCTACAAAGAGTCAATTGCTGAATTGTATCGACCAGCACAAGGATGCATTTCATGTATCTTCAGTTTATGACAATGGACCCTTTTTCTTTTTCCTGACTTCATGAAGCTGGGCATGCATTTTTATCAACTCTCAGCTCTTCAAAAGTGTGTTTGCACAAGCCCAAGTCAGGCCTTGCCTAATGTATCAAAACCAGGTTTTGCAATTGGGTTAGGCCCTTATGTCATCCGTCCAGAAACTAGGTAACGCAACCAGAAAGATTCCAAATGTTCCAAAGATTCACCTTCATCACCAGTTTTCAGCCAAAACTACAGACAACTTAACCCCCAGTAATCAAATTAGTTACCAATTTTCTGAAAGATTCCTTGTTGATCTCCCTGGTGGAAAATTCAGGAGGAACTTCAAGTACATGAACCAAGTACCAATGATGTTCATAATATCATTATCAACAGTTTCTATACGAAACTGGTCATACCTACTGTATTTACATGTAAGTCCGGTAAGAGGAAATGGGCATGAACAGGATCTGGCAATTTTGAAGACTAAAACTGGCTTCCCAACCAATTCCCTCCCCCACTTTGTTTTGTGCATGAAAAAGATGCCACTTCATTGGCATACAAAGACCAAGGAGTCATAACCATTTTCATTGCAACTGCTTATCACATTTCACCACATTTTGTTTTAAGATGTTCAGGGCAATCTTGAGACTTAGGCAAGTTTATTGTACTCTATCCTGAGTTGCTTTGCCTTTGAATAAAATCCATTCAGCTCAGCTGCAGAATAGGACCCACTCCCCCCAACCGACAAGATCAACCTCGTAGCCGGCTGGCTTGTGATGTCAAATTGTCACTCTGTTCTCATGGGGAAATTCACCCTGTACCCATGTGAGGCCATGAGAATGAATATCCCTGATTTCCATCCACTGCCTGCATCCCGCTGAAAAAAACCGCCAACAATTCATTGCTTTCAAAAAAGTTATTGTTTTTCCAGTCAGGAATGGTTAAAAAATGGCTGCAAAGTAAATTGGGAGTTCGTAGTGTGTCCACATACAAATAGTGTGATGCAAGATGGACTGAGAAGTTGTCTACTTTCAAGGTTGATTCCCTTTGCATGGATGTGTACTCACTATCGATGTGTGGTAATAGCAGCAGTATGCACACGAAATAATGAATCATGAAAAAAAGCCTCATGGGTTTTCAAATTTGTCCGGACGGAAATCCGGGATGTTCATTCTCATGGCCTAACCATGATTCCAGGGGTATTTTTTGGAGTGGCAGGGTATTCTCAATAATACTCAATTTATTCATAGAATAATCAACGTAGGAAGGAGTACAAATGTGCACAAACATGACAAGAGTCAGGATTGCACTTAACAAAGAAAACTATATTGGCTGAAGGAACAAATACCAGTAGGTCTCGTAACATACATGTAAATAATAGGGGGAAAAATCCTTTGATATGATAAAGCTTTGCTTAACGACATGTAGGCCTAAATGAAATGAACTTAATCATGTTAATCATGTTATTAACCTAGGCCCTAACAATTCGTATTTTGTAAACGAGTTTAAACATGTTAAAGCACTTGCCTCATAGTGACCTTTCTAGCGCCCAGTGAAGTACGATGATCAACTGGACAGTATTGGTAGAAGCTAGAGCAGTGGCAGTATCAATGCTGTACGGGATTTCCTTGTTTTCGTCTGTCAGGAGTGTCATTGACATCCGTGAATCAAGACACAGGCTCACAGCACGGGGTAGCTACCGGGTCGTCAACAGGCGCTAGGCGCAGGCCACTGCCGGTAAAGTGGTAACACCGCGATCCGACTCCGAGAAACGTGAAGGGCCGGTATGGGTTAAACTACAGAACAACTTCCACTGCAAGGAAACAATTCATAACAATTTTAGCCAAGCAGATTTTCTAGCCTATATCAGAACTTCAGTCTTATGTAGCATAAACTCACTTTAAGGTTTTTCACAAATAGGGTTAACAAAAAATTACATGCCAATGCCGACAATCAGACGCCCATGAGCAGTCGCCATCTTTTGGTCAAGAACAACTTATTTATCTTCAAGGGGAGGCGTCCTTTCAGATTGGGATGAGATTAAAAAATAATAAAATAAAATTGTGGAATGTGAAATGAAAAATACTTACTTTAGACAGTGAAAAACATACGTCTACCACAGTATCATCATTAGTGGAAATTACTCTTTAACAAATTCAGAGTTTTAAAACAAATCCCCCTCCCTTCACTTGTTTGAAATGAAAATCATCAATGGTAAAAAATTGGTCGCGTCTGAAACGGGCTACCAGCTCAGTTTAAGCTGCGCCTGTTGTTGGCACGCGCCCCCGGCCGGCCACGCGCATGTGTCAACTATGCATGATACATAGACTGCATCCAAATCTCTTGTCTAGAGCTAGGTCTTGGTATTCACTCCATTGGAAATGCATGGAGACGCGCAGACTATAGACCTAGCCGCAGCTCTGGAAGCCCGTTTCGGACACGGCCATAGGATGGGGACATCAAAGCGCCCTCTCTGGTTAAACGAGAAAAAGCTTTTGTACACCTGGACGTCTTCAGCATCATGTGAGCACACACTTTTCTGAGTATCCGACTAATTTAAATCGGCCACGAAATTCTGAGATTCTGCAGGCAGCTGGCTCGCTTCAGGTTCATTCGCTTTAAAAACATCCTTTCTCAACATGACGTACATCAATTCCTGGGAAGAATTTGCAAAAGCTGCAGAGAAGTTGTATCTTACCGACCCTTCGAAGGTTTGTGTCTTGATGTAGCCCCATGAGTGTGGTTCGGAGGAGGGCAGATCACACTGTCACCATATACTACTACTAGTAGTACTACTACTACTAGGCTATAGCTCCATGCCATTGCTATTGTTACGCCCCAACTACTTGAACTAGGCCTATAACATAAGTCCCAACTGTAGTACTGCAGTTGGGCTGGCCCAACTATTGTTGACCAATGTCTGTGGGAAATATCTCAGCATTATCCAAGTCAATGTGTCTCACACTTGACACAATTTATCTAAAATGTGGCACCTCATCTCTTCATCTAGCCTATGAGTATGACCAATGACATGACATTTGTAAATGATATGACTTTGGCACATGCTGGACACATGCACACAGGACCTCTCTGCTGTAGTTGGGCCGGCCGAACTGTAGCACTCTAGTTAGGACGGGCCCAACTATAGTTGGGACGGGCCCAACTATAGTTGGGACTGATGCTATAGTTGGGGCGTAACACTATCATACAAAAAATACAGTACAAGAACAGAGGCGCATGTACTTCGAGAACTCAAAGTCACTACTCCGTCATACATGTCGTACTCCGTGTGACTTAGACTCCAAGGTTTACATGGTGTCGTAACGCAATGGGATTTGGAATTAAATTTTTGTGGTGAAATGGTTGACCATGTTCCAGATGTAAAAAAGCTGTTGAAATCAAATTTCCCCCCTCAACAAACCTGCTGAATCTATACCTCCTAAAAAGTGGGATAGCCAAGTTTCAGAGAACGAGATGGAGTATTTTTTACAAAAAATGAGAGTTTTGCTCACCAATTTCTCGCTTCCACCCTTTGACTGTTGCTTGGTTCACGCCATCCATGTTTATCAGACTGCGCATGCGTCAAACCCACCAATGACCGCGCTTGCTCCGCATCTTGGCTCGACCATTTTCGGTGGCGGGAGATAACATCTTGTGTTGTATTTGTCCCAGCTATACTTACACGGTGCAACACATGTCGCGCGTCTCGCCCGATGTGTGTTTCCAGGTCACAGCAGCAGCTAGGATGGTCCCACGATGAAAACAACACAAGATATCATCCCCCGCCACTGAAAACAGTTGAGCCAAGATGCAGAGCAAGTGCGGTCATTGGTGGGATCGACGCATGCGCAGTCTGATAAACACGAACAGCATGAATTGAGCAACAGTCAACGGGTGGAGGCAAGATTATATTTTACGTCCCCGACTGCATAACTTTTGCTGGCTGCTTGGTAAAAGGGCAAGAGCTGATGCGTGGCCCGTGCAGGACAAACATCCATCCCGCAAAAATGATTAAATATGAGGACTTAAAATTCCTTTTTTTATGGTGACACTCGTCTGCACTTTTTACATTTATGAGGATTACGTAGAGTAGAACCATTGAAACACTGTGCTGGTGCTTCAGCACGCAGCACCTTTGTGGTTGGATCGTCAGCGCAGTGGTGTGGCTCATACAACATTAAATCTGAATTTGCTGAATTTTGTGTGTGCTGTGGCTTATATTCCCAAAATTACGGTATATTGGACACGTACATGCCATTTCACCGTGATATACACACAACTCTCTCCCACAGAGGCAACCCAGGGCGTGGGGTTTTGGGGGTCAAACAAGACCTCAAATGCATGTGACAGTTATTTACAGCATCATAATTATTTGAGGGAAAAATTGTCAGTTATACCTGCTGTTTACAGCGAAACTATTTCAGTCAATCAAAATCATATACATCAAGCCCACACCCCGGGTCTGAACCTACTTCCAAAGTGTTTCTGCAATCTTTAGCAACCCTGCTGCCTCTATGACAACCAGGGCAGTGCAGATTTCCACGGTCACAATGGCTCTGACTAAAGTCTTGTCGGTGGAGTTCTTCACTTACAAATCACAGTAGAAAAGTGAATGCATCACACCAAACTTTTCTCCAATTGAAATAAAATACTCAAACCCCATGCCCCGCCTCCTGGTTACATTGAATTGGATCTCACTGTTCTCCTCAATCATCGTTGACCCCTTGCAAACCGGGGCATGGAGTTTTTTGGGGTCAAACAAGGCCTTAAATGTAGGTGGCGCAGTTTGTTTTTTGTTCCTTTTGCTCTCCATCGTTTCTAGGGATGTGCATCCTGAACGCTCGCCGAATGTAACACTGTTACTTATTCAACACTCAATATCAAACAGTTACTTGTCACACAAGTAATAAGTAATTAACTTCACACTGCTACTAGAGCGTGCAGAAAAAGATAACCTTTAATCACAATTTCCTAGTTAAGAAATGAGTTCCCCAAATGAGCAATGCCCTCAATCATTTATGCATGTCCCAAGCCTTGCTACTATTGTGCAAAATCACTCATGCAATATTTTCGATAAGGCTTATTGGACACATTGGATCGGGGGTGCCAACATTCCACAACATTGTAGTAAAGTGCAAACGGTCACCAAATATTCCAAAATTGTCACCAAAAATACCTTTAATACCACCTAAAACGGCTATCTATTGGAGCTTCAGTGGTGTGCCGGACTTGCAAATTTGTCAACATTCGATGGTTTGACTTCATGATGTCTCCTCTCATTCAAATATGTACGCCTAGATTTCGCTGGTGTGTTAACTCTATGGACACAAATGGTCCACCATGGAAGCAGGCATGAGTGCCTTTGTGGTTGGGCCACAAGATGCATTGACGACCTCAAAACGTTCAGGAGTGCTACCAACGACTGTTTAACGGTCAACACGTCTTGTGCCCTGACCTCATATTGGGCACTTGTCAGTGTGTAGATTAGGGGATCCGCTGACTGTTTCATGGTACCATAGTACAGACCTACAATTACTGCCCAGTTTTGGAGAGTGTACATATACACGTACACGGTTGCTGCTGTCTGTACGTGCAAGTGACCAGCTGATGGCTACTTCTTGTCCAAAATTATTCCTAGTATTTGACAAAGTCACCTATCGGAATCCATCTGGCCTTGTTCAAGTGGGCGGAGGGTTCACAAAGTAGCTTTTGGTCACACTGGTTGGTCCAGTTGTTGTTTGGTGTCTGGAGTGTCTAGAAAGATGCCCACATCTTGTTATAAATAACAGGTAGATGTACATGTAATGTTGCAAAATCAGTGGTTTGCTCGGTGAACTTGAAAGTTTGAAACCGCCCAGCTGGAAAAGACCAACTGACATGTACAGTTTTTTTTCTTGTTTCAGGTTAGGATTGTGTTGAAGTATCGGCACTGTGATGGGAAGTTGGCAATGAAGGTCACAGACGATGTGGTGGTAAGCTCCGAAAATGTTCACGACGTAGTGCAGAAATTGAATAAGAGGAAGGAGATCACAGGTTGGAATTCTCCTCGTTGCTTTCAACGTCCTCGGCCGTTGACAATCCACACCTTCCTTCTTGTTTTATCAACAAACACTTCTGTTAGTTGCACAAATTTACTGAGCAGATTGTAAGCTGCGGCAAAGCGTTTATTATAGTTTCACAGATTCAGTTCAAATTCCTTTGGCTAAAAAGGCAGAAGAACTGTGGACTATGTTTATTTTAAAAATATTTTCCGTCTTTGTTGTGCTACACAGTTTGGTCTGTTTTTGGTCTGTGGAGTTTTTGTTGTCAGGAGGCTTTGGAAATTGAAAAGTTATATCGAATAAACCATTACCATTGCAATCCATCATCATTACAATCGAAAAAGCTTATTGCAGAGGCTGGGACCACATTCCTCAGCAGTTGTCTTTTTAAGTTCTACCTGTTTGTACTGTATCATTCCTTTCCACTGATTGTCAACAGTATGGAGAATTTGAAATCACGATGCAGCATAGATGCAACAATTCCTCCAGGCATCGCTTGTCACTTTTCTACCAGTATTTTTGCAAAAAAGAGGGGGGGGGGAAAGGAGGCCAGATCCGTTAAAATAATTTCTATTCTCACAGTACTGTCTTGTTTTTCCTTGGAAATTGTGTTTTGACATCAGCCCCACCCCAGAAACTTTCTTATCCATTTGGAGGCTCAGGAGAATTTGGAAGGATTGAGGAGGGTAAAGCCATTATCACTTTGCATAGGACATTACCTAAGAATGCACCGTTACTTTCCCAATGTCTGCACATAGGATGATTTTGGAATAATCAGGAAGGGTCTTCGCAAGACCGCAGTGGAAGTCAAGGTAATGGTTTTTCCTCTTCTGTATCTCTGCAGTGCCTTCAGTACAGGACAGAGCATGCCCAGGACATCAAGAGAATAGAGAAGCTTAACAACAAACTCATGAGACTCATGGTGTCAAAGTAGAGACTCGCCCAGCTCTTGATGGCAACGGAGTGAAATGACTGCCAGCAGTACCTACTTGTGTGGACCCGGGGCAATCGCATCTAGAGAAAAGATGCTCCACAGTACTGCAAGGACAGTCCTGACTACTGTGTTGGCTCAACGTACATTTGGAGCAAACTCTTGTGGAGATATTCATATACATACTGGAGAAAGAATGTCCTGTTATCCTCCCACCGTGAAGAGAATGCCTCATTACACCCTCTCGAAAGTTGAACGTTGACAATACATCAGAGCATCCTTATAAGGACATGCTCACCCGTGCTACAAATACAGCTCATTTTCATGATTCAGTGTATTACTTTTGTTACACCTTCAAAACAGCCCAAGAAGATTCAGACACCACTGCTGGTATTACACAGTGTTGTAGCCAAGTCCATCACAAGTCCCTGCAAGTCCATCACTAGTCCATCACAAGTCCCTGCAAGTCCATCACTAGTCCATCACAAGTCCCTGCAAGTCCATCTCTAGTCCATCACAAGTCCCTGCAAGTCCATCACTAGTCCATCACAAGTTCATCACTAGTCCATCACAAGTCCATCACAAGTCCCTGC